AAAGATATTATTAAAAAACTCACATGTTGAAATCTTAACTTTTGCTATTCTCGAGTTTTGTTTTTTTTTTTTTTTTTTTTTAACAAGGGAAGGGCTCAGATATACCAGGATTAGCGAGGACACTGTCCTTTTGAGAAGAGACACACACATACACACAAAAGAGAAGAGACACCAAAAAAGCTGGCTTTCCTTCTTTGTTCCCCAGCTCAAATACACTGAGGAAAGACCATGTGAGGTCGTTGTAAGAGGGAAGCAAGCCAGGAAAAGAGCCTTCACCAGAAACCAAATTGGGCAGTGCCCTGATCACAGACTTCCAGCCCCCAGAACTGTGGGAAAATAGTTTTTCTATTGTTTAAGCAACAGAAATAGACCTTAAGACACCTGGCCTCTGATATTTTAACTATTGTAGCCTGAGATGGCCAAGGTACCTGTATAAATTTATTATCCTGCCCTGAATGAAACTATTATTGGAAAAATGTACTTACAGGAATCGTCTTGAAAAAATGAGCCCCTGGGTGGCAGAGCGGGTAATGGATCCGGTGACTGATTAAAAACATTCCTGGGGAAAGAGAAAGAGTCAGTACTTGGTCTGTCCTGCTGTCAGCAGATTTACAAGAAAACATCAAGGAAAGTGAATGGGTTGAACATTCGTATCTCAGTGTCTACCAGTTGGAAGCATTTCTCTTCCTGTCTAGATTCTGAATCACATCTGTAACTGCCACCCTAGAGAAACCATTTTCTCTTGCTCAGGGAATGAGGGCAGGGAGTTGAGGCATTCTAACTTAGAATGTGGAACACACCCTCTGAGCAGGTTCTTCTGAGCTGGATTAGCAGAGGGAGCTATGCACAGGTATATGCACTCAGGTTGCAAAATTGATGTGCCTCTGAAGCTAAACATAAACACACTCAAGACAGCAATCCCCTAATGGGTCTATACCTTACTGAATTATAAAAGACATGTATGAAAATGTTCATAGCAGCACTATTCATAAAAGCCCTGCTATTATGGATGTTGGCTGATCCCCAAGGGGCTATGTGTTAAAAGTCTAGTCCCCAGCTTGGGTGCTATTAGAAGCTTTAGGAAATGAAGCCTGGTAGGATGTCTTTAGGTCACTGGGAACACGTCCTCAAAGGGGATCATGGAACCCTGCTCTCCTGCTCTATTTGTTTCTCTCTGGCCAGGAGGTGAGCATTTTTGCTTTGCTGTAACTCTACCATGATGACTGCCTTACCACAGGCCCAAAAGCAACTGGGCCAACTCATCATGGGCCAGAACCTCAAAGCTGTGAGCCAAAATAATTCTTTTATCTTTATAAGCTGATTCTCAGGTGTTTGTTACAGTAACGGAAGTTAATACAAGCTCCAGACTGGGCATGGCTTACGTTAGCCTAGGTAGTTCAGAGAAACAGAATCATATACAAGTAACCATCACACTGCCTGAATGTGCATCAGCAGTACAGCAGATAAAATAATCACCACCTGTTCCCACAGTGGAATACTCTATAGCATTAAGAATGAACAATGTGCAAGTACACAAAATAAATCTCACAAAAATAGTGGTGAGCAAAAGACACCAGGCACCGAATAATACCTACTGTCTAATACCATTCATATAAAGCACAACACCAAGAACAAACTAGTTGATGCTATTCCAGACAGTGGATACTTTGGAGTGTCATGGCTGAAAGGCAGTCGAAGGTGAGTGCCTAAGGTGTTCGTAATATCTCATGTCATGATCCTGTGCTTGCTACCTGGGTCTGCCCAGTTCATGGAAATTCACTGAGTTGTGCATTTACTATGTGTGCTTTTCAGTATTCATATTATACTTTGATAAGAACTCTTAACTGCAGTATCAGTTTTGTTCTTAATAAAGGTGATTTTTGTTTAAGTTGCTACCTGATACATTTGTCTTATTCCTCAAACACATCAAATGGGTGGGGAAGGGGTTTTATTTGCTGGGCCCCCTGGGTCCCAACAAAAGCTATTTTAGAAAGGAACAGATTTTTTAAAAATAGTGCATATCATCCAAAGAAAGGACTGGCTCTTGACTGACTCCTGTGAGATCATTGCTAAATTCTTGGAATAACTTGCCCGATGAGAATACATACCTGGGGCCTGGAGCCATGCTATCGCTAATGCTCGTGATATGATTTATGATGGAGGCCTTTTGCTTGTTTGTTTGTCTGGGACCTTAGGCCATGCTGTATCAATCTGACCTTTGGAGGGGCTGAAGACTGAATAGCTGAAGGCCAGTCATATGGACATTCGAGGTCCCCATGAGTAGCCTCCAGTGAACCCTCAACTCTAAGCGTCAGGTGAGCTTCTCTTGTTGGCAGTGCTTCCCATGTGTCATCGCACATTGCTGCTGGGAGAGTTAATGGTCTCTGTGGGGCTATGTGAGAGAGGACAGCTGGAGGCCTGTGCTTGGTTTCTCCTAGACCCCACCCTCTGGGCTTTTCTTCCTTTGCTGATTTCAATCTGTATATGTTGGTCATATTAAGTTATAACCATAAATGTAATAACTTCTGGGTCCCCTGAATTTTTCTAGTGAGTCATCAAGCCTAAGATTGGCTTTGGAGATCCCCCAGCAGAGGTAGCAATCATAAAGTCCTAAATATATCACAAAAAACCCAAAGTAAACCAAATGCTAATATTGTCATCTAGCACAATAGCTTTCAGAGGACTATACTTGTAAAAGACTTAAAGAAAAGAGACACAGACTGATGGTGGGCCCAGAACACAGAGCCTGACCTGTGACTTCCCCATCGAAAGTAACAAGGGAGGCTTTGGTGAGAAGAGTGCACCAGATAGTGCCCTGCATCCACAACCCCCTGAGACCTTTGTCTTTAAAGTGAGCAGGGTTGGCAGATGCATTTTGCCAGCTCCACAGGAAAAGTGGGCATCTCAGTCATACAGGAACAGTAGTGGAGGGGCGGGGGTAGAAATACACAGGCAGTTCTCAAAATTACGAAGTAGAAAAATTTGCCCCACTTACTCATACATCTTTTCTTCTCCTTGGTTTTGTTTCAAGGGCTTAGCAATTTCCAGTTTCCTGCCTGGGGGAGAAAATCATATTCCGTTAGGATGAATTAGCAAAACATGTGGTTGTAGAGTTTAGAAGTCTCAGTGCTCCAGAACATTTGGAATTAGAAGGCCCAAAGGGAACATACTTAGGAACACAGAGCTCAGAGGTGACAGAGCTGGCATCTGAACCCAGGCCGTCTGACCACAGTGTGGGCATGAACTCAGTGAGGGTGACAACCATGTGGGCTGTGGGTCACATGAATCGCTAAAAGTGGCTGGGAGAAAAGGAAATGAAGACTCAGAAAAGCAGCTTATAAACTGTGATGTATTGGAAATAATTGTTATTATTAATTAATTATCACCTGCTTGTTTTTATGGGTGACTTATGATAAAAGAGGATACATAAGATTTTTGTTAGGGGCTGGGGATTTAGCTCAGTGGTACAGTGCCTGCCTGGCAAGCGCAAGGTTGTGAGTTCGATTCCCGATACCAGAGAAACCCGCCACCCACCCCCCACCCCCCGCAAAAAAAAAAGATTTTTGTTTAGGGCCATGTTTTTGTCTATATTGCAGAATAAAAAATTTTAAGAAGCAAACGGATAGAGAGCTATGGGGGCCAGAAATACAGCTTTGTAGTTAAGAGACTGGTACATTATGGGTTAAAGCGTTGAACTGGGAGCGCAGCACACCTGAGCTCCAGTCCCAACTCTGCCGCCAACTCCTATGGCAACTCTGTTAAGACTCTGTTTCCCTCTGAATTTCACCTTTCTTATTTCTAAAAAATTATTGAGAAGAATGACAAAAAGATTGCACTTCTTATGCAACCATGGCCTTTTAGCACCAGGCTGAGCAGGATTCTGAGGCTGTGTCCAGATGCCCCGGGGGGACAGTGCCCTGATCACTGAGGGGTACCTACCCAGAGTTCCCAGGGCCGGAGGATGACCACATCTTAGCCTCTTTTCTGTCACCAGGTATATTCCTGATTTAGGTCCTTATTTAAAGGGATAGGATCTCAAGACAACACACTAGTGAAGCACAATTTCACGTTTTTGGAGAAGAACAGCAAAGTGGAAAATCCACTTGTCGATAGCCTAAAGTTAGTGTCAATTTCCAGTCACTTATTTATGTCTGGGGATGCCAAAAAACCCTAAAAGGTGGGACAGTACCAGAAAATGCAGAGTATGGTCTTGAAGGCAGTCGCGGTGGGAGTGAGATAATTCTACAAATGTGTATTCTCTTTCAAGACCCAGAGACAAAACATTGTCATCAGTAGCCACATAAGAAAGAGAAAGCACTTAAGGATGTTGTGCCCTGAAACAGACTGTGCTTTTGTTCAAACCCTCTGGACTAGAGGAGTCCTTGGAGATTAGTAACCCTACCTCCATTAAGCACGTGGGGAAACTGAGGCCTGAGGTTATAAATTAGTGGCAGGGCTAGGACTCAAACCCAGACTTCATGATGGTTAATCCAATGTTCAGCTCATACAGCACTAGGGCCCATCTTGCCCTAAAGAAGCTCTAATGCACTGACAGCCACCCACCCCTACCTCTAACTGCCCAGGTGAGATGGCCATTACCTTGTTTAAATTGCCACCTATAGACACAGTACAGGATGAAGCCTAGGACCAAGGAGACAACAACGATGGCCACAGCTAAGATGATCCAGAAATAGTTCCTCCACCAACTCATTGCAGTGGAATCCTAAGAAGAATGGAAACAGAAAAATGAGGTATGAATGAAGACTATCCGGAGTGGTGGTGGGGCCTAGTACCTACCATGTTGTGTAGAGATGTGGGCATCTGCTTATGAATCAGACAGGTTTCAGTTCATAGTCAAACCCTACGAATTAGCAGCCAGGGGACTTTAGGCAAGTTGCTAAATTTTCTCTAAGCCTCAGTGTCTCCATTTGTAAGGTGGAAATGACACTGTCTACAACTTCACAGGGGTTGGAAGGACTAGAGACAAGATATGTATCTACTAGGTATTACAGAAATAGCAGACATACTCACGACTCTTTTTTTGTGTATTGCCAAAATATAGCAGCAGTAGAAAAGTGCCATTTAAAGCAATAATTGACTACAGTTCTTTTTATGTCAGACAGGATGTACAACTTACAACAGAGAAGAGAATTCTGAGAGCTTTTATTTTGAGGTGGGTGTTAGAAAAATACTTTGATGGGTGCTATGGTTTGAATGTGGCTTGTCCCCATCATAATTCATGTTGAGCTTTGGTTCCCAATGTAATGGTGTTGAGAGGTGGATCCAGCAGGACCCAGATAGCTCTTAAAAGTCCCATCTCTCAACAGCAGGTGCTAGCAGGTTAAACTCTGTGGGATGGGCTGATAGGAACACCCCCAGGGAATTCAGCAGCTCTTTAGGGGAGAGACGGGCTCCCTTCACCCATGGACTGTATACTTTGCCAGTTCATTTGGATATTAAAGCAAAAATGATCCTTGAGGGATGCTGGGAGGTGTCCTGACATGATGTTTACATAAGAGTCCACTTCTGGGATTGCCACTTAGCTCATACAAATCACCCATGCATATTCATGTAGAGGCATTTCAGATCCCCGCTTCTGAGTAATATGAGTGATATAAAAATGCACCTAGGCAGGTACCAGAGAAACGAAGCAGAACTGGAATGCTCTAAGGTGATCATTATTGCCAACACCTTTCAACTTGGCTAAATTAAAAAAATTATTTCTCAGCATAGTGTCTTCATTGGTTAAATACATTGTGATTTGGATATTCAGTTTCAAACTCCATTTCTTTATTGAAGTTTTGCTTAAACAAATATAGTGGTTTTGGCTACTAGTAAGATTATTTGTGGTAAAACTAATCATGTTTTCTCGGTGCTCTTCTGTACCTGTCATTCTGCAACTTTCTTTCTTTCCTATATGGCTTTGTGATTTATGTATATCAGTAGATAAACTGGGGACTTACTCTTCAGGGACCAAAGTATCAGCTGTCTGGTATAACTCATCTCCGAGGTATGCACACAAATAGCCGGGCGTGGTGGCACATGCCTGTAATCCCAGCACTCAGGAGGCAGAGGCAGGAGGATCGTTGTGAGTTTGAGGCCAGCCTGGGTACCGAAGTGAATCAAAGGTGGGCCCGAACTCCCCACGACGCCCCTGTTTAAAAAAAAAAAAAAAAAAAAAAAAAGAAAGACAGCAATAGAGGAGGAAGAAGGCGGGGTAGAGACTGGAAATGGCTCTCAGTGAACTCTGACTTTACAGGGCCTGGAAAGGTCAAAATAACACTGTACTTAAGAAGGGGCCTGGGCTGGGGGTATAGCTAGTGGCATAAGCACCTGCCTGGCAAACTCAAGGTCCTGAGTTCAATTCCTGGTACCCCCAAAAAATTAAATAAATAATAAAAAAGGGGCCACACAAATTGAAATGTCACCTTCTTTAGCCTCAGAGGACCATATAGCTGGAAAATAGATCTGTAGGTAGATGGGGTAGGGTAGGGTGGGTAGAAAGAAGACAGATAGAATTTTCTTCCCTCTATTTTGTCAATTCTTTTTCCTCTTATTAAAGTGTTGATTTTTTGGTTCTTCATCTATCTTTCTGCTCTTATTTTCTGGCTCTGTCCTTTTGTTTTACTCTTGAAGAATTTCTCCCAAAAAGCAACAAAAGCCTGCACTTTAAAAGCCATAGAATACTAGGACAGCTGTTGTATTGGAGAACTGGGAGACAGAAAGGGAGGAAAGACAGGGGTTGAGGGATGCAGTTTTTCACTGTAAACCCTCTGCGTTACTTGATTTTTGAAATATTTGCATTCACTTGGGTAAAATGGAAAAGCGAGTCAGCTGACCATGGAGCATAGCTTTCATGAAAAGCCACTGCCCAAGTTTCAAAGACAAAGACATCTCATTCCCATTGGGTTCCTAGGGAAGAGAATTTCAGGCCTACTGAGAGGGAATTTTTTTCCCCACTTGTTTTCTTACAAATGAAGTGATTCGATTTGCCATCAGATGTTTCCAGCATGTTCACTAACCAGTCTGCTAGACACATTCCCATCTCATGTCATCCGCGACTACGCCTTGTTCTCCAGACAGGGAGCCAAGACCAAGGTGAAGTGACGGCCCAAGGTCATTCAGGAAGACCAGAATGCTTTTTCTCTGTCACAGGGCTGGCTCTGTTTTTGTTGATAACGACATCCCCAAGTTATCAAGGAAGGGCCAAGGAGGGTTCAGGGTATCTTGCTTTAGAAGGAGCATCACTGTGGTAGTGAGATGATGGTGTGAGGAACCACAGGGGGTCCCCCCAGAGTAATGGTCAGGGTGCACAGTGAAGAGTAAAAGTCCCAAGTTCACTGTGTATAGTGACATATGCCTGTGATCCTAGCATTCTGGGAGGATGAGACAGAAGGATTGAAAGGTTGGGTCCACCCTGGGCATCTTAGTGACCTACAAAGACCCTGTCTCAAAAAAAAAAAAGAATTTTAAGAGCCAGGTGTGGTGGTGCATGCCTGTAATTCCAGCATGTGGGAAGCTGAGGCAGGAGGACTGTTGTGAGTTTGAGACTAGCCTGGGCTACAAAGTGAGCTCAAGGCCAGCCTGAACTGCATAGCAAGACCCTGTCTCAAAAAGACCCCAAAAAATTTTTTTTTAAAAAAGGGCTGGAGATGTAGCTTAGCATGAAGGTCCTGAATTCAATCCCTAGTAACGCATGTATGCACACACACACACATCCCAAGTTCCCTACATTGTAAGGCCAGAGAAACTGCCTTGTGATCACCTCCTTCTCCATGGACTGCTGAGAGAGGCCTTTACCACAGAGGTGAGGAGACTGTGTCTTTTGCAGAGAGTGAAGTTGAGAGAAGGAGCCCAAGAGAAACACATTCCATTTCCAGTCGGGTACCCTCTAGGCCATCATGGTAGTTTGAGGGCTAAGGTGCTTCCACAGAGGAAAGAGCTGCTCAGGGAGAGACAGTAGGGAGCCCTGGGAATGGGAAGTAGGTAAAGGCCACACGATCAAGTGCAGACCTGGAAAGGTATAAAAGCTGGACCCTGCTCTTGCCATGGCCTTGGAGTTGGGGCTACAGAGGCTAGATGAGAGCGTGGGGTGTGGGACTGCTGAGAATCAGCTGAAGGGTGTAGACACATCTCTCAGGGAAACCACAGAGATCTCTCAAGGGACAGGGGTCAAAGCCTTCCTCAGTGAGCTGGTGAGAAGACCTCGTGCCACCATCACAGACTAGATCAACAGCAGTGATGGGAGACTTCCCACAGAAAATGGCTTGTCCTCCTTCCTCCTCAGTCAGACACTGGGGAAATGAATGTAAGGGACAAGCTATTAAGAGGAGAGTGAAGAAGCCTCCATCCCTCATTGTGAGTACTTCGCTCACTAGGACAAATGGGAGAACTTTGAGTTCAATGTAAGGTTGGAGTTCTGGATGGGTATTTAAAAACTAAATTTACACAATAAAATGAGTGAGCCTGATAATCAAAAGTAACTAAAATTTTTTGAAATTGAACTGCAGTGTCTGTGGGGAAGGCCACCCCGGGTAGCAACAAGAGGAGCCCAGGCAGCAGCAGTTGTCAGAATCAAATTGTAGCCAGGCGTGATGGCGCACGCCTGTAATCCCAGCCCTCGGGAGGCTGTGGCAGGAGGATCGTTGTGAGTTTGAGGCCAGCCTGGGCTACAAAGTGAGCTCAAGGCCAGCCTGAACTGCATAGAGAGATCCTGTCTCAAAAAGCCAACCCTCCGCCAAAAAAACCCCCAAAACAAAAAGAGAATCAAACTGTATGCATTTCCTATGGCTGGTCTATGACACAATGATGTAAAGCAACTCGAAGTTTATCATCCAAGTTGGGCATGATGGCACATGGGCTAAGGCAGGAGGATCACTTGAGCCCAGGAGTTTGGAATCAGCCTGAGCAACAGAGAAAGACCCCATTTCTTTCAAATATATTATCTCATAGTTCTGGGTTTCAGAAGTCTGTGTAGCTCTTACCTGTAAGGCTAAAATCAAAGTTTTGGCAGGACTGTGTCCCTTCTGGATGTGCCACGGGAGAATCGATGTCCTTGTCTTTTAGGGTTCTGTGAGCTCATTGCCTTTCCTCCCCCCGTCTTCAAGCCAGCAGTGCTGCAGCTCTGATTGTTCCTTTACAGTCACATCTCCCTGAACCTCCTCTCTTGCCTCCCTTCCCCCATAGGAGGCACTTGGTCCACTTCACAAATCAAGAATAACTTCCCCATCTCCATTCTGGTTGATTAGTAAACTTTATTTCCTCTTACCATGAAATCTGACCTAGTCCTAGGTGATGGGGATTAGGAGGAAGGAGTCATGACATAAATGACTTCATGCCTCAGTGAGATGACATTCTTTGGTTAAAATATTCCATGGGTAAATTATTCCACTGGGTTAAAATATTCTGTTTCAGCATTTTACTTTTTGCCATCTTAACAATGTCTCAAGAAGGTAAGGGGAGGGGCTGGGGATTTAGCTCAGTGGCAAAGCGCCTGCCTGGCAAGTGCAAGGTCGTGAGTTCGGTTCCCCGTACCAGAGAAAAACAAAACAAAACA